TCGGTTGCAAAATAAGAAAAGAATATAATATAAGTAGAGAATATCAAGAATATTTATTCAAAAATATACTTTACATAATGATGTCATAAAAATAATATATATTACAACTTGAAAGTAAAATTTTTAACAGACATGTAATTACAATAGCATGACAAACCGTTTAAATTATTGATAACTTTATATAAATATATTTTTTATAAATACATTAAAACAATTATAATTATATTTTTAAACAGTCAGTTGCATAGCATGACCATCATACTAAATTATCTGAGCTGAAATAAACAAGATTGTAAAAGATTGCAAACCCTTTTTAACTAATTTGCAATCAATCATAATTAAGAATGATGACATGTGCATGATCGCTTTATTTAATAGATAATGTTACTTTTGAAAAATATTTTCTTTTTTTCGTAGAAATTGTTTATTGACAAAAGAGTTTTTTTGATTTTCAGATTCAATCAAATAATAATTTTCAAATAATAATTCTATTGAACGATAAACATGTGAAGTCAGAATAAGCTTTTTAATAAATAACTTTATTACAATCAAATAAAATTTTAGTATACTATTTATACAAATTTATGAAAATTTGCTATGTTACCCTTAACATGGTATATGTAGATTCTAAAAATGTTCGGAGGATATAATAATGTAACTTTCATACATTTCTTACATATATGTTGGAAATATATTTTATATATATTATAAAATACTGTACTGAAAATAGCCACATGTTCAAGTGTCTTATTATTTGAAGAATGTTTACATTTAGTATAGACAAAATATATAGTTTCTTTTAAAAAACATTTATACATTTTGCAATATAATTACAACATATTTTTTTTTAAATACTTGTCTTCTCATCGATGGTTTTAACTTATTATTCTGTTTACAAATAAAATATAAATAAATACAAAAATATTAAGGTGTCAAGTAAAGTATCAAGATATTGTAATCGAAAAATATTAAATATTTTATATTAAATGTTAAAATATATTGGAGTATAAGATAATTTTTAAATTATTAAATATAACTTTGTAATTGTTTTTTGTAGAGATTTAAAAACTTTAGCAATTAATGTATTTAAAGATATGAAGTAAAAAGTAAGATATTTCGTAAAAAATTGGAAGCTTTGTTCCATTTCTCTACAAATTCGATAATGGTACCCCATGTATCATATTTAAGACTTCACTGAATCTTGAAAGATTTTCAAAGAAAGTTTTGTCACTGTCTCGAATAGATTTTAAGAAAATAACTTGTAAATATATGGTCTACTTTATATATTTTTATCAGGTATTTATTATATACAACTGTTCCTCTATTTATATAACCACTTTATATTATAATTTTTTTCAAGATAGTATAATATTTCGGATTTGAATTGCTCGTGCTTGAATATAATAAAACTTTGAATTTAAAAATGCATCCTATATGTATACTGCGAGATGTGTGCAGCGTTAATGCATCGCAATGTCTTCCCGATTACTTTTTCATTTTGCGATTTAAATGAACTCGCAAAAAAGTACATCTTTGATTGTTCTGTAATGTGATATAGATAATTCGTCGCAGGAATGTCCGTGTTTTCGAATTATGTCGCGAATTTAAGTTACAAAGAGAAAAAAATTCTTGGAAAAAAAATAAAATAAAAATGTTACATTAATGATATAGATAATAATAAACATTTTTATGTAGTTTTAAATTGTTTTTACTTTTAAAAAATTATATTTAAAATTTAATTAGCGAAATCAACGTCAACGTGAGAAATTGAACATACACAATTTTTTTATTATCTAGGGGAGAGAGAGAGAGAGAGAAAGAGAGAGAGAGAGAGAGAGTAAATTTGCATAAAATTATTGACGAAACACTTATCTCTTACTATCCTTCGGATAAAATTGTTTGTATTGACACGTGTAAAATTTATCGTATGAAATAGTTTATATCGCACTGTGTAATTTGCAAAATTGGCGAGTTTGCGGTTTCTCAACCGCACGCGCCGACGATGACGAGTTGCAAAAGCGTTGCAGGAATTATTCGCGAAACCTTTAATGCGCCGCCATCAATAACTTCTACTTTGCCTACCGTTTAATTATGAAGAATGAAACGCTCGTTCGAACGATCACGCTGTTACGTCACTGGAAAACGTGATTTTGCTTCTATTCCTTGTCGATAGTTCTAAGGATCTATCCAACGAGGAAATAAGAAGGATCAGCTGACTCTGATTTTTATTACAAAATTTCTTTAGAAAAAGATGGTCGCTTAGTAATGTGCATAAAGGAAATATACAATTCTTAAAAGAATTATTTTTTATTAATAAGAAAGAATACCACAAGAATAAATATTTATAGGTTTTTTTATTAGTAGCAATAGTATATTAGTAATATTACATTCACGACAAATCGTTTATAGCATAATCTTTAACGATAATCAACAGAAAATATAATATAATATTTAATTACATTCAATTTAATTTGTTTTATTAACTTGATTGTATGTATGCTAAAATTATTTTCGATTAAACGTATAGAATCGAGTAAAGAACATTACAAAAAAAAAAAAATCGAAAAAAACATTCTAATTTCGTAGAAACAAGAACAACTTGTAATTATCTGATAAACATTTATTTATAAAATCAATCGTGTACATTTTATTTATAGTATCAGGTATATAAGATTAATTATATGGAAAGCTTATCACATTTTATTTATCTAACATAGCGATAAGTGTGATTAAGATAATAAACAGGAATTAATTAACAATGTCATCAAAACATCGCGTTTCTTAGGAATGTTGACACTTTATCTGCCTACACGAATTTAATTCTCTTAGATTCATTAATGTTATCTGAAGTTTCAGCTCGCCGATCATCTATGTATTATTATTTTTTTATTACAAACAATTACAAGTTTCCGCACTACCATGTTCTTTAAGTAATTAACTTAATTATTTCTTGCATACACACATTATATTCTTGTATTATCCTTATATATCCTTGAATTACTTTACAGACGACGAAGAAAACAATTAAATTTATCCTTATTGTTTTCGATTTTATTTTATTGTTGGACATCACGCATTCAAACACATATTGATTATTAAAATATTGAAGATTATATTATGTTATAAATTATATTAAATTATGTTAAGTATTAATTATGTATCAAATAGCCTTTTAATCATTTGTTATTATTATATAATTATTGTTTATAATTTACAATTTGCATTTATGATTTATATTTTATTGGTTTATATTTTGTTTTACTTTGTAATTAAATATTAAAATAATATTAGTATATTTTATGATTTTAACACACAACTAGCCAAACATGCAAATTAATTCGAATAAATTATAATAATTTTACTTTTGCAATTGTAATTGGCATTGATTTATTTACAGTGATTGATATTGATCGACAAGAAGGAAACTTACTTTAATACAGTAAACTTGTTTATGAATCTAGTTATGAATTTGTAATGCTAGTTTTTTCAGCGTATTATAATTTCAAATAAGTCCGTTTTTAATCAACAATAACTGGGAATAACAATGTTATCTACTAACAATACGGCAAAGAAATGTTATGCAGTGACCAAATCAATTACAAGCTATTACATGTATGAATTTTTTGGTTTATATTTTTGAAAAAATCGCGAATATAAGTGAAATGTGCTCCTCCCTATTCAATTTTTAAAATATTAGAACTTTTTTTTATGTTCTTCGCGAATGTTTAGTGATCTCGGAAACATCCTGTGTCCAACAGTAATCTGCGCATATATTTATTAAATCCTTTTTAATTCTTGAAAAACTCTTTTAGGACAGAAAACTCTGTTTAAAAAAAAAAATGAAGGAAAATTTTATTTATTGCGTGACAAGAGATCGAGTTTCAGTTTATTTCGAGTTTTGAATGCAGCGATTTTCGAATTTGTATGATTTGTACGTCTTAAAATCTTTGAGATTCTCTCCAGTGAAGAACTCATTACCCGATATTAAATTGAATCGCATGCAGCCGAAAATAATGCCACTTTCGTCCTCATGCATTCGGATATAAACTTCGTGTTCTACCAGGCCACAATTCGAAAATAGTCGCAACATTTAGGGTGGCAACGCATGGCTTTCAGCAACGCATGCATGTCGTTGTGACGCATGAATCTTCTTCTCTTTCTCTATCTTCCTCTCCCCCCCCCCCCTTCTCTCTCTCTC